ATCCAGCCGGGGGCCTGCGAGGCAGCCAACGCCTCGGCCAGGATGTGTGCAAGACTTTGCTTTGAAGCGGATCCAGGGCGCTGCGAAGGATGTTGATCTCCGGAGCGGTCGCAGGAGTTCAAGCTCTCATAGCGGGCAGGGCCTCGCCGATGCGGGGACGGGAAAGGGATACCTGCCTGGAGGAGCTCGCGCCTCGCTCGGAGGAGGCCGTGGGACGGAAGGGCTGCTCCGGTCAGGGCTCTGCAGGCAGGGCCGGCTCCCCCGTTGGACGCATTAACCAGCCGGACCGCGCGGCTATCCCGATCCTGAGCCGTGATCCCCTCTGCCGAGGGGCAGGGACTGCCCTGAGCTGCTGAGCGAGTCAAAACCCGTGCCGAATTCAGGAGCACAGGATGGGGAGATCACACAGACGGGGCCCACGGAGATCTCCGCATCCCTGCTAATGCCCCCATGCCAACCCACACAACCCCTCGGCCACCACACCTGTGTGGCACCACGCATGTGTGCACCTCGCAGGTGGGAAACAAAATTAGTTTCAGTACATGGAAGACTCAAAGCATGACAAAGTGTGACAGCAGAGGCAGCCCAGAGAATGAAGTGCTTGATGCTACTGGTGCTTTGGGAAGAACGAAGCTGTACAAAATCCACTTGGATGTTAGACTCGCATTTAACGATGATGCCAACAGGCGACGGTAGCGGAGAAGTTCAGCTCTGACCTGTGAAACCCTGCACTATGCTGAATGCAAACAAGGCTGCCTGATTTCAAGCTGCCCTCCTTTCCCGTGGCCAGACGCCAGCGGTGAGGAGCTGCAGGTTCAAGCACTGGCTGTGCCACACAGCGCGCCGGGAAGCTGAGCCGCGCGGGACGGGCCGGTCTGCGAAGGAAGAGCTCAGAGCGGAGCACCCGCCGCGGCAGCGGGCGCTGGAAGGAACCCCCTCTGCCTGGCTCACAAATACGAGCCCGTCAGAAAAAGACCAGCTGGAGGCTTTACTGCGTGGGAGGCAACTCTGAGACATGTGGCGGGCTGCCTTCCTCTCCAGGTGAGCAGTTACCCAAAGGACGTTGCTGCTTGAAGAACATCATGGCCTGGCCACGGCAGAGCAGACCGCGGAAATCCCGGACGAAGTGCGAACTAGCGCATCCATTTTCCAGCGCTGACCCCAATCCAGGTAACATTCTCCTTCACCCTCCAACTCTGAATAAGCCGGTAAAGTTTTCCAGCTGCACTCAACCACCTCCTATCCTGGGGCAGAATCCACTACCAGAGATGTCACATTCACAAAGCCTGAATTCCCCACTCCTTGACTGTGCCACTGGTGACAGTGCCACATCTTCACACCTGACAGCTCACGAGCTCTAGTCTCTAGAAGCCACCAGGCCCCCAAACAGCTCAAGGGTCCTGTGAAGTGCAGACCGGCCATGAGGGACAGGGACACAGACTTTGTACTGGAACAAACTGACGCTCCGAGGAAAAACACATTTAGAGGATGGCCTCATCATGACTTCCCAATTCTCCTTAACCTTGATCCCCAGGTGCTCGAGCTAATAACACTTCAGATGCTCTTTGGTGGGAAACTCTGAATTGCTCATTAGGCAGCCAAACCACATCAGAGCTATTCCGGGGAGAAAGCACTGGGAATCTTTACAGGAACCTTTGGACTCCGAGTCACAGTATTAGCATTGATTTAAATGAAATAATGGTCCCTGCTGAGCATTAAAAGCATTCTTTATAAAAAGCCAGCAAGGTAGAAAAGAGTCATTGTACCCAGAGCCCTGGCATCCCTCCAGGTCCCTTTGCTCTCCAGTGAATGGCAGAGACGCTAATAAAGGCAATCTTCACCTCCTCTGCATTCGACACTGGCCCGGTGTTTGCTGTGGGCTCAGTGAGACATGATGTACTGTCTAAGGAACACGGAAAATCAGCCGTGCCTCCCTGCTCCTGCTTCGAGATGCTATTAAGGAGCTTTCAAGGGCTGAAGCAAACTTCCACCCGAGAGCAGGCAGGCTGTGGTTGCAAACAGCCGCCCCACGCGCTCGTGTGGGTAAACACAGCGGGACGCGGAGCCCCTACCTTCCTTGTCCCCGCCGGCCGGGCTCCTGCTCTTCCCGCGGGGACTGCTGCTGGGCGCCTGCGGCTCCTTGTCGGGCTGCTGCGGGGCCTGCGGGAGCTTCCCCGGGGGCACGTCCTCGCGGGCAGACTCGTGGGCTTTAGTGATCTGCTGCTGGTAGAGGGCCAGGGCATGGGGAGGCACCTGAGGCTTCACGCTTCCGCTCTGCAATATCCCCTCCGAGAAACCTTCGGAAATCTGCGGAGTAAGAGGGAGAATCGGTGATGCTCGGCATGTGCTGCGTGATTCTGCGATTCGTTTCTGTGATTCTGTACTGTTAATAACTATAGTAGTCTTCAAGGAGATGGAAAGTTGTTCTTCTGAGACATGTCTGCCCCACACTATCACCACCAGCCTTGCCATCCCGACCAGTGCTCCAAAGCTCCCCAACCGCAGGAGGTTAAAACAAAAACACATGTATTTCCTGCTCCCACAAGAGTATCAGATCTGTTCTGGTGACACCACGAGAGCCTCGGATTTGCCTTATTTAAAACCTCGGACCTCTAGTTAAGTGTTTACAGATTTTGCAAGAAATTACATTACAGCAGACAGATCTTAAGCTGTGACATGGAAAACTGAGAGCACATCGGGAACAGATCCTGCCTGGAAACTCCAAACACAGCACATGAAATCAGGGACTTCTTCCCTCCCCACCCTCCTAATGCTCCTCCTCTCGTGCTGAACTTGACCCTGAAAACAGTGGGGTACTTTCTGTCACCTCCCAAGCTACAGCACCAGGAGAAACGATCGGCCTGGGAAAATGTGCAGTCTTTCAGTACTACTTCATAGCCAGAAAGGGGGAATACAGAGTTTTGCAAAGAGGAACAGCATAAATGCCTCCTACGTGTTACTACAGCTCTCAGTGAACCCGCTGTAATGCCCAGGTCCTCGGTGGACTGTTTATTATTTGTGTTGTGGTCTAGCAGTGTTAACGCTGGACCAAGTCACTCTGTGCTAGGCACAAAGAGCTCTTCTGCACTGGGGCAGAGCCAAGACCACAGCGTAGGTCCTTTGAGCACACGGGATCAAGAGAAGCGCTGGGCTGGGAAGGTGCCCGCTCTCCCTTTAAAGCGATGGGAGGTAACAGCCATGTGGCAATGACGAGGTTTTTCTGTCCAGAACTCTCACTTCTTTCTGATAAAAGAGCCCAAGAGACATCCAGACGCTGCTGACAGAGTCTTTCCAGCAGCTGGGAACATGCTGTGCACAGAAGGCACCTTGCTTGTTCTTGGGCCCCAACCAGCTCTCCCGCAACCCAGGAGAGCGTCATGCACCCGAACTCTCCCGTGGTGCCCCCCAGGGAAGGCAGCGCTGTGCAGAAACGTGCGGGGCACCCGTCAGCGGGTACTTACGATGGGAGGGATGGCGGCCGCGCGCTGCTTGAGCTGCTTCAGGTCCAGAGGTTTCTGCGGCGAGGAGTTCAGCCTGGCGTCGCTGGCCGTGTTGAGCAGGCTGGGCCGGGGGGACAGCAGCCTGGACATGAAACACGAGTTGAGCCGAGCAGCGTCAAGGACGAGCTCCATCCGACCGCTCCCCCGCGCCCTGCGCTGCTCTGCTTTGTGCTGTGAGCCTCAATCATCTCCTCTTCATCAGCGAAGAGCAGCGGGGAGCACTGCTCATGCTGAGGGCCCTGGAGATCGCAGCCACTCGGGTTTCCAGCTCTGCCAGCTGCTATCCCAACCCCAAACAGGCCTGCTGAGAAGGCAACCTCCACACCGCAGACCTCAGAGTCCCCACGAGGCTGCCTGGGTGACAGGAGGCCGCTCAGCAGCAGGACAGCCCCATGGAAGGTGTCCTGAGCTGGGACTTTGGCAGTTAGAGACCTAGAGTCCTGGATCCCAGCACACCAGGGAATCGCTCCTCGCTGCCCTGTCAGAGCATCGCTCCCTCCTACACAACGGGCACCAACAGGGGTGAACGAGCTGCAGAGCTCTGCAAGACCAGGGCGACTTCGAAGGCCAAAGGGAGCCAGAGAATGCCCTGGGATTCGGCTCCTGCTTGCAGAGAAGACAACCCCGAGGGGACTCCGCGCTCTCCTCCTTCCCTGCGCAAAACCCTTCTAGCGAAGCTGCTGTGGTCCACGATATGCCCAAGGGAGAACTGAAGGCTGGAACGGGAAGGGGCAGCTCCAGCGCAGGGTGCTCAGTTCAGATGTCATTTGGGCATCGTGCCACCCTCCGGAGCTGCCGCCTGGTGCTCCCCCGGCACTGCAAACCCAGCCTCGCGCCCGGGCAGGGCCTGGCTTCTGTCACCATGCCGGAGCCTGGGAAAACGACCACGTGCGCACGGCTGGGGCGCTGGGATCTGATGAAAGCCGAGAGGCTGGATTTCGATGGGATTTGCTGCTCAGGCGGGCTGTGCTCGGCCCTCTGCCCTCTCCCCGCCGGCAGAGCCTGAGAACGCGGCCGTGCCGAGCGCGGCGGCCGGCGAGGAGCTCGGCCCGCGGGGATCTCCCTGCGCGGAAAAGGGGGATCCAGGGCATCCGCAGGGATCCCTGCCCCTGGGGCCACACTGCGTGGTGGGGACTCACTGCTCCAAGGTGCTACCGGAGCCAAGGGGCTTTTCCCTTCCCGACCCATCCGGCACCGGCACAGGACAGGCGGGCACTGCTGGCGCCCCATGGGAAGGGGACAGGGACGGTGACAAGAGCCTTCGGTCAAACCCGAGGTGTTTCTGGCTCCTGGGGCTGTGGTGAGACCCCGAGGGCTGTGTCTCTGCAGGAGATCCCCGCTATCTCTCTCTCCCACTCCCGTTTGTTGAAGCCAGCCTCATGGTTTTTTAAGGTTTACAGCTTGATTTGTTTATTTTAGCTGTTATTTCACTGCTCTCTTCAGCCTATAAATTTCAAGGTCACTCCGTGCTCACCCTTGGATGAATAAACAAGCATGGCTGGGCCATGTGAGGAGAATAAATACATCACGGTGCTGGGCCTGCTGTGGCCCCGGCGCACACGGAGCCGCGGGAGCGGGATGGGGACCCCCGCTCCGGCCGGAGCGCCCCGCGTGCCAGGGCAGACCCGTCCAGGGGTGGCTAAATGTCCTCAGCCCTGCGTCCTGCAATGACCGCACAGGGCACGGCACCCAAAGGCTGCCCAGATGGGGGGCCCGAGGGAGCTTCAAGCCGCGCAGAGCCGGGCGCTGCTGCCAGGGGACTCCGGGTCCACGTCCCCGTGGCATTTGCAGAGTGCTCTGCCTCCAAACCCCGGCACGCGGGGCTTTTAGAGCCGCCCCACATCCCCCCAGTCCCCAGCCGCTCCGCTCTCCCATTCTGCTCCATAAAAGCCAATCTTCACAAGCTCTGCGCCGCCGGACACGTCCGCAGAGGCCGGAGCTTTCCCAGCGCGCAGCCCGGGAGCTGCTCCAGCTGGAGCTGCTCAGCCCGGCCCAAGGCCCGGCCCTTGCGCTCACGTCGATTCCAGAGCGGGATTTGAGGCACCCAACGCTTAAGATCCAACTTGTTCTCTCTGGACCGCAGCAAGGACGAGGAAGCAGCCTGCCCTGCCAAAGCAGGGCCGGCAGGCCGGCTCAACACAGGTTTGCTAAAGCACTCCGCCACCCTGAGATTTAGAAAGCCAGGATCAACCTTAAACTCATCAATATAACGCTGCTTAAGTCACATCATTTATGATGCCTCTTCTCCCCAAACCTTGCGCTGGACACAGCACTGTTTGCTGGATGCTCTGCTCCGAAAGGCCCCGGCCTTTCCTGCACACAGCCACTGCGACACGGGACGAAGGGCCCTCAGCAACTACTGCCCCTGTTTTTAACCTGCATCTCCTGAACCAACAGCTGGTGCCTCTGTAGCTGGGCAATGAAAATGGATAGGGAAGGAAAACGACTTGAGCAGCAAGGCCCTATACATGTGGTCAACACACGCACAAAAGGAAGAGCCTGGGCTGGACGGACACGTCCCCTGGAGATGACCAGGACGCCGCGTGCTCCAAAGCTCTGCAACCTCCACCGTGAGACGTGCGACTGCTTTAGCTGCCAGGCGACCCAGCACGCTCGTACATGAGTCATCCCAGGCCATGCAAGTTTCCAAATTTCCCTTGCACTCCTTGCAAGCGCCACGAGGCCGGGGCTCGGGGAGGCTCCCCCGCGCTGGGCCGGCGGCC